TGTTTATAGTTTATGGTGATATCAATTTAATAATTAGGCAAAGACCCTGCAAGTCTACCCATACACTTAAATTAGTGTAAAAAACTAGATTGTGATTATTCAACGGACGTGCCGTCTTGATACAAACATTTGACGTCGGTACGATTACGATGAATATTCTCAGAATTCTAAAATGCACGCAACTATAATTAGTATTTCATTCATAGACAAAATAGTAAATAGGAAGAAAGTATTATCGTGCATGATAGGAAGGTAAAACGTCCCCAACGTCAACACAATGAGATAGGTACGTAGCGTCCCTTGTCATACACGTCGTGAAATCAGGAATTTATCATTTCATGACTATCATTGAACCTGGTTTAGCGATTTATCAGTAATTTTAAATAAATAAGCCAGAGGCCCAACTCTACGCGCGATATTGTAGGCAGTTTCATTTGCTCCATTGTGTATATTTACGATACGATTACGATGAATATTCTCAGAATTCTAAAATGCACGCAACTATAATTAGTATTTCATTCATAGACAAAATAGTAAATAGGAAGAAAGTATTATCGTGCATGATAGGAAGGTAAAACGTTCCCAACGTCAACACAATGAGATAGGTACGTAGCGTCCCTTGTCATACACGTCGTGAAATCAGGAATTTAACATTGAAGTGATTGAAGATAATTTCGTTACGTTCCGTCTTGATCCAAATTAGTGACGCCGGGGCAATAGTTGATAGTAAATATCAGTACAATTAATGAGTATCCACATAATTGTTGAATGCAGGGACCTATCTCTAGTAATACATTAAAAATACAAATTATAATTCGGGACAAATAATTATCTTTACATAATATTTTTTTTAAATTTTTATTTTTGTTGTTTTTTATTTATTTAGGCACACAATACATGTGCTAAGGATTGTCAATAGCGAATATATCACTATCCTACTTGTAGGTGACAATCCCTTACACAAGACAAACATACACACACAATGCTTTACACAAACTAAATCTCAATATGAGATTTAGGGAGTGGAGTTGTTTTGGTCGTGAGAAAAAATCCTGCAACTGGCAGGAATTGAACCGTTACACAGGACCCTGGGATTGGAAGGCAAGCATCTTAACCACCAAGCTATTCAAATCCACTATACTACACTACTATACTATACTATATGACCCATGTGTACATCGTGAACTCAAGCGGTAGTAAGTACCGTCCCGATTCAAGGAATGACGCCAGGACCGTGTTGATAATGGCTACGATGCGACAGGCCTTCTAGGTCTAGCCATCGATAGGTGACTAGCTTACTCAAAGTAGTTATGACGGTTTGAGACAATACCCCTGTAAGTAATGTGCTCTTGCTTCCTTCCCCCTCCACCCCGCACCCCATCCTCAAATTAAGTATATTTTTTTTATTCATTTCTCAATTTTAAAAAAATTAAAAATCTAAGCTACTGTTGGTCATATGCACTATATATATATACAATATAGGCCTATATATATACAGTATTATATATACATATATATATATGTACCGTATATAGGCCTATATATATAATATATATATATATATATATATATACATATAACCGAAAGGTCCACTGATTAATCTCAGATAAGAAAGTATAATACATACTCCAAGTATTGAAATACACGCCATCGTGTTGGGATTCAATATTTCGACATTAATTATGTCATCATCAGGAATGAAANAATTATCCATATTAGCAAGCTTATATGCACTAGTACCAAAAGTGTTTAACCAATCAAAACATTACCTCTAGTAGGTGACATAGCAGTGATTTAAACAAAAGATCAAAGCATTCTTACTCTAATGATCAGCAATCTCTAAGTAGCTTCCTTAGCGAATTTTTCTTAAGGTTAGTAGATATCAGTTTGTTATTGTAAACCCTATCAAGAATTATATTAATTACCTTAGTAAGGGGAACATTTGTAAACAGAGATTCAACATCAAAAGATCAAAACGGTAACCTAAATTATATAAATTATTTGGTATAGCTTTAATGCGGTCAGCAGCATCAAAAGAATCTTTAAGGACAAAGTCATTAACCGTTAGAGGGCCTAATAAGTTTGATAAGTACTTAGCTACTGAATAATAACAAGTACCGGTCGTGTCAATAATAGGTCTTAGGAGTGGAATATTATCAAAATCTTTATGTAATTTAGGTAGTCCATGGGCTCTACCAGGCATGGTTGATACTGGACGAATTTCTTTGTATTCAGTTTCAGTTAGTTCATTTCTATTAAATAGTGTCCGGAGGTAGGCTTGTAAGGAGTTAAGTTATTTATTTATGTTTAAGTTACCGTAGTTATGTTTTAGGATTACAGGGTATACTTGAAAAATGATAATGTCGTCTGTAATGTAAGTAATAAATTAGGTTTAATATTTTCTAGTACTAGAATTATTGACAGCTGTTCCATAAAGTTGCAGCAGCTTCATCAGCGCATTTTGGCATTTAACCCTACCAGGTACCTATTTATACTCCTGGGTGGAGAGAAACAATGTAGATAAAGTGCCTTGCCCAAGGACACAAGCGAAATGCAGAGCGGTTTATTATGTATGTATTTTTAGTAGACCAATTTATACGCTTTTACAGGCATGAACTTTTATGAACAAATTAAATATAAGACAGAGCGGCTCAAACTAATCTGGATTTGATGTTCCGGATAAAGTACTCAGCTTTCCATCATGGCTTCTCCAGCTGATACTCCAACAACAAACAGTAAGATTTAGGTTATATTTAGGTTATACCTCGGTGACATTTGACAATAATAAAGTATTGTAACTGCCGTCCCATGACTTTAATTAAATAGCGTCTTGACTACTAGGCCTAGGCTAGCGTTATGCCATAGATATATCTTACAGTATAAATTACAATTTGCCTAGGCCCTAGCTAGGCTGGATGGAGGTCTAGAGGCTGCTATCTAGGCGGGTATCTAGGCTTTACTAGGCCTAAGGCTACTAGGCCTAGGCTAGACCCTGGCAAGGCCCTGGCCGCTGTGCTAGGCTAGCCTAGGTCCTAGACTAATAGGCTAGGCCTAGCCGAACTAGGCCTAGTACTCTAGTAAGTATTAGATAGTAGGCTAGACCCTTAGTTTCTGAAATGTGTGGACGGAATTCTAGACTAGACCTAATTATTGTGTGGGAGATCCTAGGCCTAGGCCATTCGGCGCCCAAACCATTTTTTTTACAGTCAGACTGCCCGAGTTAACAAGGGGCGTGTTTGTTTATGAGCCGAGTTGGTGAAAGGCAGAGTTGGTATGGTCCAAGTTGGTGAAGGGCCAAGTTGTATGTGTTTATAGTGATTAGGAGAAAATTGGTTAATAAAATTAACTGTGGCTACTTGGAAACTAAGCAGGCTTTAGTCTCGGTCATCATATTATCCCCCATAAAAAAAAATTATTAGTTTGTCACCCCTCTCCCTCATTCAATTTTTTTTTCAATCAACATATATTTTTTAATAAAAAATGTCGTTTTTCCATCTTTTTTCACTTGAATAGCTCAGGATTTCTGGCAAATATGTTTACTGGTACAACAAAAACATATTTTTTGAATATAAATTTGATTCCATCTTATGACTTTATATATGTGTCCCTAACCATTGATTTACTGTACTTGTAAACATCAGTACAGTACTATGATCATTTCATATCAAGGCATTCTACAGTAATTGACTACAAACTAGTCTTTTTTCATCATCATTATGTTTTTCAGCCAACAACGGTTCAACACCACACACAACCAGCTCTTCAGCTTCAATAGAATCATCATCTAGCAATGATGGCAAAGAAGCTGATATTGAACCTGTTGATGATACATTAAATAGCTTCTTAACACAAATTGAAGATTACGCTCCTACAGTAGGTTCTTTACAGAAATGTTCTGTTAATTAAAACTCATTAATTTCAGTTTGATTGATTTATTTATTAACTGAATAATACATATTGAATGAATTCTACAGAGATTTATTTGTATACATATGTTTTTTCTATTTTCCAGATTCCTGATGCTGTCACTGGGTTTTATCTCAACCGTGCTGGGTTTGAAGCTTCAGACCCTAGGGTGTAAGTAATCGTTAAGTTGATTATTATCTGTTTACAGTGGTATACTGTATCTAAGAAGGGGGAGCTGATAGTAGAGCAAAGGTTAAGTGACGGGCTCAATAATTAAATGGAGTCCCACATGTAATACAGTATGTCCAGCTTTATATTAATAATTATTTGTCTTTTGGTATTCAAAAACCTTGACATCAAGTATGAATCCTAATCTGTTGTCATTGAGCTGACTATTTAAATTTAAAGTCTTATAATTGTTGTGGTTGCTCCTCAGAATGCGTTTAATATCACTAGCAGCACAGAAGTTTGTCTCAGATGTTGTGAATGAGTCATTGCAACACTGCAAGATGAAGGGATCTGCTCAAACTTCTAAGAAGTCTGGAAAGGTGAGTAAATAGGGATACTGTATTATGTTTTCAACAATGATGAAATTTTAATTGTATTTAAAGTGAATGGAATTGAAACTGAATTGACCATTGTGCTATTCGAAGTTGACTGTACATTTACTGTGGTAGGTCACTCATGGGTCACACTTACAGTAAGTTGTCATTGACATTATTTTCTCCCTGCATCCTAAGTGAAATCGCCACAGAGTATTCCTATTCATACAGCTAACTCCATATCCTCGACTACCCAGCTTAAGGACACAAGAAAAATGAGCAACATGGGATTTCCACAGTCAAACTCAGGTTGAGAATATGACTTGTAAATACTGTACAAACCATTGTATGAATACACTTTGTATGTTTATGATTCTCCATATTATTGTTGTTTTGCAGGACAAGCGTTACACATTAACATTGGAAGACCTTACACCTGCTCTGCAAGAACGTGGCATCAATGTAAAGAAGCCATACTACTTCACTTAGCAGTTTGTTGTATTGCATTGTAGCCAGACAGCCACCACTGATGTTTTCAGATGTACATATTTAACATGTGCTAGATATTAATACTGAGAGGGAACTAGCAATAGTGAGATGACATCACAATGGAGAGCTACTGTGCAATGATGTCACAATACAACAGCAATCTTCTGGTGATGTCACAATGGAAGATCTTTAATTCCGTAACTTGAAAAAACAAATGTCATTGAAAGCAACACGATTACAAATGTACATACAGTACTCAATAGCATGAAAGGTTGTAGCATTAGAGATATTTCTAATGCAAAAAATTTTCTTATATTGCCTCAACTTTTGTCATACAGTTGCTTCAAAACAAAAGGATGTTGATTCAGGATTGTCCATTCACAACTCTTGATAAATTTGAACCAATCAATGCCTTGTATCAGATTCTGTCCATGTCTTAAGAAGTGGATGTTCTTGTCTGAACACAAAAATAACTTTTGAAGGATTAAACCAATGGTCAGCAAGTCACATCTCCACTTAGGCTAAATGTGAACTTAAGAGTACATAAATATTTTTTTTCTGATCCTGATGTAAAACCGCTTCATTTATTGAAAGATAAACAAGCTTGACTTAAAAGAGGCTTTTTACAATCACAAGACATGATTTGTACTAGTAGTTACAAAAATAGTGACAGGGAATTTGAGTATCAAATCAAACTGAAGGATTGATAATGAAGCAAAATCATAACTTTACCACTTTAAATCTTTTGACTATTTTTTAGTGAAACTTTTTATAACTGTCTAATTTCTATGGAACTATTGCTGAGAAATATTTTTATTTTATGAACACTTCCGGAAGAGATTCAAATGAGTCGGATGGTCCACCTGGAAAACTACAGAAATCCTGATAGTGAGTTTACTATACATGACATTTTGTAATTTTTATATTTATGTTTTTATTTATTTATTTATTTTTTATTTGTATTTACAGGTTGGGTTTGTTTTTGAATTAACAGTAACAATACCTTTTTAGCACTTTCGTTGTTTTGTTTTTTTAGTTGCAAAAATGTTAATTTTCATTTAACAAATCTGCACTACATTGAGCAGTTCTGCTATTACGTGCTCATCAGCACTGCGCACATGCACTCAACTTTTAAAAGATTTTTCCAGCCAAGATTATTAAACTTAAGTAACCAAAGCTGTTCTTGAAAATGTTACCTTGCCAGTTATGATTATTTAAAGTGCGCCCTCTTTTGGGTACATCCTTGAATTCTTTTGCTTTTGCCATTAAAAAAGTTCGGCGGATGTGTCACGATTTCCAACAAACCATAATTGTATCTCCAGAGAAACCCAAGAATTTCTACCCCCGCAGTGTGTCATCGGATGTTGAGGTTTTTTCCAAGTTGTATGTAATATGGTAAATGTCAAATGTAAAATTCAAAAAAGTGAAAAAATAATTTTTAAAATGATAATACAGTAATAATAATAGGTTAACAATAATATTATTTATAAATAGTTTAATAAAGTGAAAAATAAAACCCAATAAACTTTTTTTTAAGATTTTGAATTGTCTGCAAGAGAGGATGTCTTATTTAAAGCGGATTGTATGGCCAATTGGACCGTATGAGTAGATGGTAATGTTGTACTGGCACTACCATTCAATTATTCTGTCTACAAAAAACATAAATGAAAACGTTAAAATCCTTATCTAATGTGTTAACTTCCTATTACTGCACTTTTACCACAAAATAAATAAATTGCCAATGCAAAATGATACAGAATCGGTAAGGATCTTCTATACCGTAATAACTTAACATTGAAAAGCAAACTCTCAAAATATTGAATGCCATTGTTCATTCCCGCAATACAGAGGGTGTACTTCAATGATAAGTAAAAAATTAAAATAAACTCTTTAAAGCAGTTTGTTTTTTATTGTTCTACCATACGGTGTCCCTGACAGAGAAATGGGAAAGAACACCAAATTACTTCGGTTTTTCTCATAGCAACAGTACCGTACTTTAATTGTTGCAGCTGTCGAGTCGTCCAAGCACGCAAAGGTCTGTCAGATCACCGAGACCCTTGTGGCTAATCTGCTGAGTACTGGAGTAGATGCACTCATTTGGGATGAATGGAGCAGGTGGTGGGGTGATGGCTCAAACAAAACCAGACGTTATATCACGTGGTAGTACTCCGTCACATAATTGTCACCCGGCTGTTGAATGTTGTTTCCGAATAAGAACTTAATATGATCATTCAACCTAATACTCATGACTAATTTACTAGCAGTTCTGTCACAAATTGACGTAATGCTTCCAAGGTTGACCGGGCACGCATTGTATGTTCTCAACATGTTTTAATTGTTGTAATCGCGTAGCATTATTTTATAGCTTCTTTTTCCTTAAGTTTGACATGGGGTGTAAGTTTGTTGTAGTACGGGTCGATTGACGAGTTTGTTGCGTTACCAGAAAATGATGTTTTTTTAAAACGCTGGTAAACTTTAATGGGGAGGTGCATAGTTAATATTCGCTATAAAATACAATTTGTTTTCAATATCTTTGAAGTACTTATTTTTAAAAAATCGAATGAGTCACAAATATAATGGAGAAATATAATACTTTACACATTCTGTTCAGGAGAAATCCTCTTTTTCGCTTATGTGGTACGATATTAACCAAATATAATTGTAACACTAGTGATTAACTACCTAGGCTATGATGAATATACTAGAATAAAAAATGGTTCTATCTCTCACTTATTCTATAGTAGTAAAATGATTATTGAAGTATACTTTAGTAAAGTACAAGTGAAAAGATTGGTTAATTTCATCTGTATTCATATATTGCCACTGATGAAGGAATAGCGTGGTTAAATAAGGAAACATGTTATTTTCGTATGGAGCATATGCCTTAAATGTATCGCTTGTTTGTGGAAGTGCTTCCGGTGGAAATTGAGGCTGCAACCTCACGGAAACCTTTTGATAGATAAAAAATTCGATCTTGCCAAATCACCCCTGATTGACGCCCTCACCGAGTGAATCCGGAGAAATCGCAGTATTATAAAATTATAGTAAACATGATAAATCAAAGTCGCTGACAGTGTTTACATTGCTAAACAACCTTGATTTATCAGGCCTACTACTGCTTGAATGAAATTAAATGAATCAGTGAACTTTACATTGTGAAGTGTTCTGTATTGTCTTCGCGATTGAAGCCTTCCTTCCTTTTAGGCTCATTAAAGGCGTGATGGGGTCGTTGTGACCACTGGATATAACTAAAGACCTTTCCACTATTCCACTATTATTATTCTGGGTTGCTATACAAGTTACAGAGTCAATAAAAGCTTGGCGGAGTGTGCGTGCACAACAACCAGGCGACATGTGTTTGATTAAACTGGTGGTGGCATTCGCTTTCGTCATGGTAACAGCGCAAGGATATCAACGCATATCTATAGTAAATATGATTTTTAAGATTTTTATTTTTTTGTAGCAATTTCTTGTTCAGGATTAATGGTATTATGTAGTATACCAATTTACAGGTACAGATACAGATATAGATACAAGTTCTGTTCACATGCATGCCTAAATTTATATTTAAGTATGGAAGGCTATAGATATAACATTGTTATAGTAATAGACTCTATTATGACTACCTAATAGAGCGCCACATACGCCAAAATAAGTTTTTTAAGGAATTTTAGTAAATAATCGTCCTTTATAATGAGTACGTCTGATTGTTTGCATTCCGATTTCTTTGTTTAATCAAATTCATTTGAAAAACTTGTCTTGTACACTTTTTTTAAATAAGAACCAGTAAAATATTGCCCAGGTTAAGTGTTCTTTGCCGATTTCAGGCTCGAAATGTATTTACACACTTTTCGAACATAGAAAATGAGTGTTGACTAATCGTCTTCACTCTTGAATTTATTTATAATCTGAAAGTGTCTCTAAATCGCTGGAAATTGAAACAAAAATGATAGGCATAAGCTTATTTATAAGAGCCAGTTAATTTCAGCTCCACTCCTCACATCTCGAGTGTTATTATCTTGATTAAGTAGCTTGGTTACCTTGATAGTTTTCCTTGTAGTTTCCGTTTACTTTTTCGTGATTAGGAGCCGATGTTGCAAATTGCAATAGGCCTAACTACGGTATTTTCATCAGCAGCCCTTTTAAATTTACTTTTACTATAGCCTTATAGTTCAAATGTCGGTAGTTTCAATATAATGCATCTTAGAGTAAACATGTCTGTAAATTTAAAGGTTAGCAATTTGTCGTTTTGTTTGTCTGGCTTGAGAGTAAACACAAATGTGTGTTTTTAACAAGTTACGTTTATGAAGTAATGTATTTTTTTTTCTAACAGGTAGGCCCACGGTCGAAGCGTAAGGCAACTACATTAAACGGCAGAAGATGGCCAGATGGAATCATTCCATTCACTATTGACAATTCGTCTGGTGAATATTTTTGATTAATAAAATAAATTGAATTAATTAATAATAGTGTGATAATAATGAGTATGATATGGATTAAATTCAATTCAAAGTTGGAGTCTGTCAAAGGGGGCAGAGAGGACCCCCGCCCCGTCGGGCAGAAAACCACAATTCGTCGGGGAGCAAAAAGAAATATATATGTATTTTATACATATTAGTAGACTCCAAAATCTAAACCTCCAAATTGCCAAATTCGCCCACTAGAACATCTTTTGAGAGATTTCGAGCGACGCCCAATCACACCCAATTATTGTTTGGTCGGGGACATCTGACCCCCACCTACCCACCCCACATGTTGGGCAAATCCTGGCGCCACCACTGATTCAAAGTCTATTTTAGGAAAAGTAGCATATACAAAGTACAGGGTGCTGCCTTCCATGCACTGCAGAAAAGTTAATTAAAAAAATGGAAGTAATAATGATTTTCCAATTGTGTAATTGACAGTTCCAGACAGAGACGTAATTCTACATGCGATGAACATCTGGGAGAGACTCACCTGTATAACATTTGTTGAACTCACCGATGAGAAAGACATTCTGGACGAAAACAAAAACAGGGTTGTATTCTATCGAGGAAATAGGTAAGCGAAATCTAACTACTACTTCACTACCACCACCACCGCAACCACTACTGTATTACTACTTCATAAACTGTAGACAAGGTCTTCAATTTATTAATATTTATGAAAACGTTTTTTAGCTGCTGGTCAGGCGTTGGTAAATACGGTTTCCCTGAGCAGTATGTCTCTCTCGGTCCAGATTGTAATTTTGTAAGTTGTTTTTTTTTAATTATTTATTGTATCAATTGAGAAATTTTTCATATACAATAAAAACTGTATTCAACAGTAATAACCATGGTTGAAGTTTGTTAAAATAAATACAAACATTCTAATTCCTTTTGCTTTTTATTAATATTTTATAATATAATTTTAACGCATATTGGCCCTTGATGGCACTTATAGCATTGAATAAAGTTAAATATTTTTTTGTTTCTTTAGGTTCACGTCATATTGCATGAGATAGGTCACGTGGTTGGATTTGAGCATGAGCACAAGCGACCCGACCGAGACAAGTATGTTAGAATCAACTGGCTTAACGTCAACAAGCTGGATGCGTACAATTACGAGAAACGACAGACCTTGACTACGGTGCCCTATGACCTGTATTCTATAATGCATTATGCTCGTGACGTAAGCATAATTAAAAATGAAATGTCATTGTGGTTATTTTATTTCAAATGTGGATAAATATTCTATTAATTTCAATAAAATTATTCAGTCGATTGCAATTTAAAAACAGGGATGGTCCCAGGGGGGGCCCATGTCGAGAACAAAAAACCACAATTCGTCGGGGAGAAAAAAAAAATTATAATGTATTTTCTACAATCGATAAAATAAGCCTTGGAAACCCATAAATTGTCAAAATTTTTGGAGGCTTCGCCCCCTTTAAAAACATTTTAAGCGACGTTCGACCACACCCACTTTGCTCTTGTCGAGGAAATCTCCCCCCCCCCCGAAACAATTCTTCCAATTGTCCATTAGCCTGAAGAAAGTGATAGAATGCTGAATCCGTTGCTAAGTTAAGTAACTATATAACAGCAGTTAAGTTTTTACTACGAAAACGTGGTCCATCTTGCTTTAATGTCATCAAATCAAAACAGCACCACGACAATCCGAGTAGATTAAGAAAGTGGAGAGCATCTAGATTAATACTTCGGAATTTAGCCTAGTTCACGTCATACGAGATTCTCTTACAACACGCATTATATCTTTCTTCAACTCCATTTCTTCCTGTCTATTGGTGATGAAGAAAGAATATTTGAGATGATCTTATTTTGACTTGCATTGATATTTCAGACATTCAGCGAAAACGGATTGCCCACGGTTCTAACAGTTGACCCCCTTAAGCAGTATGATATAGGCAGAGCACGTGACCTTAGTTTTCTTGACATCAAGTTGGCTAATGAAATGTATAAGTGCAATGGTGAGAAAATGATATTTTTATTTGGAGCTTTAAGATTAATTGAGATTTATCAAATAAGCATAGGTGTTAAAATGCCAGTTATTTCAAAACTGTATATCAATATTATTAGGCCTATCTGTTTTTCGTTTTAAACAGAAAATTGTAACCACGTGGATATTTGCAGGAACGGTGGTTTTGTTGGCCCAAGTCCGAACTGTCAATGTGTGTGTCCATCTGGTTACTACGGGGATCGTTGCCACTTCACATCACCTCCAGTCTCAACAGGTACGGTGCAGTAAATTTATATGACGCGTTACACGACGCAAGCACACATGCTGGCGACATAATTTCAAAATCATTATCACATTTACCTAATCATGACATTAATTTGCCTATAGAAGTCCTGGATAATAGTCTAATTTTACTGTATGTTGATTTCACTGCACGTTTTTAACTTGACAAGCATGATGTTCGTGTTGGGGTAGAAGATGATGAAGAACATATGAACATGAATATCTCTCGTGTTGTAAATCTAGTTGAAGTTTGTTCAAATTAATACAAACATTTTAATTCGTTTGCTGTTCATTAATGTGTTATTATTACCATTACCGTTTTGAAACTTAATTTAATTCAATTAATTCCATTATGGCCACATGAGCCATTAATGGATGTAAAAATTTAATACAGTACTTATCTTGATAGTAATGTATAAGTCAGTCAACAGAACTGTATATTTAATTTTACACACTTTAAATAGATAATTGAATTTTATAAGCATATTTTTAATTTGACTGTAAGGTTGTCGTCATCGGATTCTAGAACCTTCTGGTAAAATTAAATCTCCGAATTTTCCTGCAAACTATAATAGTCAAGAGGACTGTATATGGTACTTGAAGGTAATTTTTGTACTTTATACTTTAATGGTTTTGTCCATCAGTCGTTTTGATTTTATATATTCAATATCTCATTACTTTATACAATCATAAATATACAAAACTGAAAAATACAAAACGCCGAACAACCCAATGGCGATATTGTTGTAACCCTGTAAGTCCAAATTAAGGGACTTATTTAGGGGTCCCTTACACAAAACTGTGTGAGAGGAAGAAGATGATGATTATTATCATTACTATCATTGTAACAGGCAAAGGAAGGACAAACAATAACTTTGAAATTTACCGAATTTGATGTAGAAGATTCTCCAAGTTGTACCAGGGATCATTTCAATATACGTACAAAGAATATGTACCAAGACGAAGAAGATAAGTTGTACGTAATCGTTTTATTATACCCATTTGTAGATGTTCTGATTTTGTTTCAATTCTTTTCTCTACAGTTGCTGTTCAGTACCGGTGGTGGCGGTAAAGGGGTTGGTACTGTGAATTACAATTGTTGGCGTAAAGGCTGGGTATAAGAACAAAATCTTCATTTGAAAATTATTTTGTTTACCACTAACTTTATGGATATTGTTTTTATTATTCAAGATTAGTTAATCATGAACATTATTATTGTCATTGCCATTAAAGTTACTAATATCGTTTCGTTTTCAAAGCTATTGCGGTAACAGAATTCCAGAGACAGTAACAACGGAGGGAAATGAATTGATGCTCCTCTTTTTATCAGATTACAACATCCAATCGAAAGGGTTTTCTGCAGAGTATACTTTCAATGATAAAGATAAGACAACGGGTAATGATTATAATAGGCCTAATCTAAAAGTGGTAGTGAAGATGATGACGATGAAGAGGAAAAAGAAGATAATAATAATAATGATGTTATGATCAGAGTCAGATTAAAGTGCTGTGGGGCCTGGTGCTGTTATTGCAAGTGGGCCTAAATACTCTGTGGCTAAAACAAAAACAAAACAAAAACAAACAAACAAAAAAAGATTTTCGGTGATTTTTCTGGGTTTCGGGAGCCAATTTTTCCTCATTGGGGTCTGAGGGCCTGGGGCTGGCGCCCAGATGCCCCTATGTTAATCTGGCCCTGTATATGATATGATAAAAAATTGTGATTAGGGTGGTGGTGGTGATGGCAAGAGCAGAATCTCTGCTATACCGCATAACCGCTTTGCACTGAACCATGGAGAGCCGCCTTAATGCTCAGCTGTTTAATTCCATCGTTACCCTCTTTGTGATTCAGCTAGATTCGTATGCTTTAATGTTCGTGTTCACATTAAATAACTTTGTACACTATTGGATAAAAATATTTCATGATTATCCCAGTGTACAGATGATGTTAATGATGATGATGATGCATCATTATTATCATCATAATCATGATGAGAACGATGGCGATGGTTGATTGTTGTGTAAATGATAAACTTAATTAATCATAAAATAAAACCAAAAAAGTATTTTAAGATGTAATAGATGATGATGATTATGATGATGACGACGGTGATTTGGATTCCTATGGTGTACAGTACATTATAATCATCGGTTATACACAAATAAACAATATTTTTGAAAGACAGTAACTTTGTTCTTGATATTATCCTTATTAATGAATCTTCCTCAGATATATACAATCCAAACTGTTTTGAGAGAAGTTGTTACATCTTTTTAGAACGTCAGTCGTCTCATGCTGACGCTAAGAAACTTTGCAAGAAAAAGGGAATGGCACTCTTAATGGTCAGTAGCTTCGAAGAGAATGCGTTTCTGAAGCAACTGTTTGGAGAGTCTTTGATTGGTAGCAGTTACTGGATTGACTTCCCGTATAACGTAGATGAAAGGGAACCCGGGTGGGAATGGGCTTTGGGTACGTATCTAAGCATAGCCTGAACTATAAAGAAACCGGGTACTCACTGCGTCATACGACGAATCTAGCTCTGCTTTCGGCAAGCGATCTGAACGGATCCTCATTAAAAATGCGATCCGTTCGGTCCGCGCCTGCGCGTGCGTTCGTCGTAGTGTCACCGTCGCGCGCAGTGAGTACCCGGCTTAACTGTTGATCAATCTAGTTTAGTAGCAGTAGCAGAAGTAATGGTGTTGACGCATGTGTCATTTATTATTACGATATATTTTATTTATCTCCTGCATCGGTTATTCTGCATTTTCTTTACGTTCACCTTACCTTTTGTTTACTTGGACATGGCACCACTTAGAGATCTTGTGTATTTGCGCCTTATTAATCGACCTATTATAATTATTATTTGTCCTTTAAAGTCAGACTCCGGAGGAAAAAATGTTTTGATATGTTGTAGATCTGATTGACGAAGAACTGGGTTACGCTGAATGAGATACAGATTTTTGAATATTTAAAAACTGGGGGAAAAGGTGTAAAATTGGGCAGTTACGCCCCCTTCTCCCCCAGTTTTTAAATATTCAAAAATCTGTATCTCCAGAGCCTGACTTTAAAGGAAATGTATTGGAACATACACCAGACCGAACTATTATCGTCGATACATAAATATAGTGTCTTAGTTTCTTTTCTTGTTTTTACCATTTTGCAGACTGGTATGAATACATTGTTGGTACCAATGGTACTGATTGCTGTATAAACGTTGTATACGATGACTGGATATCTGAATATTGTGTTGATACCGAACCATTTATTATATGCGAGACAAGAGTACCAGAAAGTGTTGAACGTATGTAAAATATTATTTAAACTCATTGTCATTGCTTTTGATATAGTAGTACTTAGCCTAAATTTTAACTAGGCCTAGACTCATCGCTGACGGAAGTAACTATGAGTGTGGTAATTGTCTAATAGGCTAAGATCGTAGGTTGTATAATGTCATCTATCAGTTGTACCCACACAATAATTTGTGTCATAACTAAAGATTATAGGAATACTGTTATTGCGATGGACAATGATAAATCATATCCGCAAATCTATCTCACGTTAGTGATTGAATAAACATAAAAAATGACGTAATCCTTATAAATTGTTTAAGGAACAATAAAAATTGGTAATGAAATGGGCTTGCCTTTATCCAGGAGAATAGTTTTAGCATATTAATATTATTGTTTTACTTCCGTAATTGGTTGAAGGGCAGCGTAACCAATTTTAAGGAAGTTTGTAAGTCCTTGAATTAGGCTTCTGAACGCGCCCGTATCGTTAAGTGTGGTGGCAATGTATATTATGTAATTGCAACTTTATTTAAAAGCAAAATAACCCGAAGTGAAGTACTGTATTTTTAATTACAACCTTTATATCAGCCAAATGGCGCCAGTGGTCCGATTGGAATGACTGCACTGTCACTTGTGGAGGCGGAACCAAAACCAGATACCGTCATTGCAGTCTGCCTGGCCTTTGTAACGGAACATCTAACGCAACAACTGAATGCAACACCGCAAAATGTCCCGGATCCTTTGCTCGATACAAAATGACCAATCAGAGCTCATTTGTGGAAGATTCGTGGAAAGCGGTTGATTCGTTCTATTGGCCCAAAACTTCCGATGGTAGCTGTTCTGTAACTGGTAATCCACATTTAAAACTGAATTTCATGAAAAGCTACATCTGACTATACAGTAATAATGATAGTATTGAAAGATATAAATATAGTTGTGATGATAATCATTATGATAATGATATGATAAAAATCCAGACAATGAAATGAGAATAAAATTAAATGGCAATGAAAAGTGTACCGTACTGGTAATTGTTATGGTAATAATAAATGATGATAATTATAAAAAACGACGATGATGACAATGATAGTATGGGTAATGGTGATAATATATAATACTAATACCAGTTACAATAAAAATGATATTAATTATTTCAGAATATGAATGGGAACCCTGGTGGGTCGTGGACCTCGGTAAATCACATACTGTCGTGAAACTTTCTGTCACTATCGATGCACAGCGATGTAAGTATATTATATTGATTCAAATTCATCGCAATTGCTGCTACCTTGTTGAAATCCACATGATATCGCATAGGCCTAATATTTTCGAATAAGCAGTGCATAGTAATCCTCAAGTTGTTAAAAGACACCTCAAAAATCCGGAAAGCGCATTTCCCACCATCTAGGATTCAAAATTTTCCCTGGGCNTTCCCTCCCCCCCCCCCCCCCGCCCCGTTCTCTTTGGGGTTCATCCATCCATAGAAAAAAGAATATGTACCGGTACCGGTATAGGCCTACAACTACTCATATTTATGTATACACATACGCCTATCACTGTAATAAGAATGAGAAAGTTTACCTGACCGTTTTCAAGAGGAGAAAACCTTGAAATTGGAAGTACTTAAAAGTCATTAAAAGACACCACAGAAGTCGGGAAAGCTTATTTCCCGCCATCTTGGAATTAAAATTTTCCCGGTGGAGGACCCCGACCCCCTTTCTTTTTGGGGGTTCATCGATTCATGGAAAATGGAATATGTATGCAACTACTGTACTCAATTTTTTTTTCTGTATGTATACCGGTACACACACCAGTGATCTCCCGAAGCCGTTTTAGCCGTCAATATTACCGGTAAAAATAACCTTCCAACCGGTAAAAATGTTGTGAAGCGCTTAGAGGCTTTGTAAAGGCATTAAGCGCTATATAAGAACGACATTTTATTATTATTATTATAGCTGAATTTGTATAGACAAATTTATCAGTAAAAATGTTTCAATTGAGAGAACACTGCATAATAGGCCCATTTACGTAATAAGAATAAGAAATTTACCTGACTGTTTTCAAGAGGGGATAAAACCTGGCGCTAGGATTTTCCCGACGGTTTGTCCGAGGTCCCCGACGGGTGGGGGGCCAATGCCTCCGACGAAGGGGAAGATTTCCCAGACGAAAGCAAGTGGGCGTGGACGAGCGTTGGTTTAAATATTGCGGTAGTAGTCCAGGGGTTCCCCCGAAAATTTTGACCAATTAGGGTTTTCAAAGGCTTATTTAATCGATTTAGAGTCTACTAATGTGTAGAAAATACATATAATTTTTTTTCTCCTCAAAGAATTGTGGTTTTTCTTCCGACGGGGGGTGGGGGGAGCTCCCTCCGATGGGTGTGCGCCCCCCCCCCACACCGCTGGCGCCATCCCTGATTAAAAGACCTTCTGAAGTCAGGAAAGCTCCGATTTCCCGCCATCTAGGAATCATACTTTTCCCGTGGGAGGACACCCGGATACCCCTTTCTTTTTGGGTTTTTTTTTTATTTATTTTTTTAATTTTTATTTTTTTTAATTTTTTTTTTTTGGAAACATTCTGACCCCCTCCTAATTTCGAACACAGATCCGCCCCTGTACAATTACTCTACTATACGTCGATTGTAATTTTCTGATCGATTTTTAATTGACATACGACTCAAAGTTTGAGATCATAAGCAGTCCTTAGTGTGCTAACACTATACATTGATGTAAATTACAAGTAATGTATAAGAGGATGAATAAAAGTCTATTTATAGATATAATAACAGATGGTTATCCACCGATGGATTATGAACACGCGCTAACTTTGCTCAGTATACAGAATGCGCGGTGCTGTAATACGTGTGGGAAACTAGTAGTTACGTGGCCCGATCCAAAATTCATCAATTACAAGTTCCAAGGGAAGATTGAGTGCTCAATCAAATCTGGCTCTAAGTTTTCAATCGGCCAGAGTCTGGTCACATGTACAGCAAATACTAATTTCGTGACGTACCAAAACATTTGTTCGTTTGCAGTTAATATTCATGGTAATCAAAGTGTTGTATTTAAAAATGGCAGAGGTGGTTAAGATATGAATAATATTGACTGTCATGTATAAGCAATGAACTACTATTAGTTAATATTCAGTTATGATTCGATGTTCTATTAATTTTTAAATTCTTGAATAGAACACAAGCATACATATTATTATTGCGTCTACCTCTTGTATGATTCCGATTCAAAACAATACATTCCATTTAACCGGACAGTTAAATGCCCGCCCTTGTGTATATATTACGTATATTACGGCACAGGTGGGCATGCGGCCCTCCAGCGATTTTTCCGGCCCGCGATAATGAATTAAAAGTATACGGCCCGCCAAGCAAATTGGCTAGAAAACACCTTGTTTTTTATGGCCCAACACCAATCATATGTAAAAAGTAAAATAAAACTGAGAATATATTGGTGTAAAAGCAGTTCTTGGAGGTTTTTGGAAGCACACTGGAAACAGCAAAGTTTGTGTGCGGCCCTCGGTGTTAAGTCAAAAATTCACTTTGGCCCTCCAACCGATTATTATGCCCACCCCTGTATTACGGTATGCAGTTCAGATGTTTAATATATTTGTAGATTTGTCTCTTATTTGCAAGATGTATAGTAGGCATATATCTTTAAAACTGCTGTAAACTGGTCGTGAAAGAACCACATACATTAGTTATTACACTGTACCAAATGTTCCTTGGTTAAAGTCAAGTTTGTATTCTGTCACCCACAGTCTGCAATCAGAAACTAAATTCATCTTGCTACACGTTAATAAACGAAAAACACACTTACTTGGAATCTAGAGAAAGATGCCGGCAGCTAGGTTTTGATCTGGTTAATATAGAAACTACGGAGGAAAATGATTACGTCTGGAAAGAGATGTTGTTAGGCTTAACACAAGAACGATGCGCCTTTATTGCTCCGAATGACAAGACCGAAGAGGACGTTTACGTATTACCAAATGGAGAAAATATAACGTATACAAGTAATTTATTTATTTTTTGTTTTCTTAATCATCATAAGATCTGTTTATTTCAATAAATCAAAGAACCAAAATAACAGTGTATACTTTATTAGAAATTCGAATACCATACTGCTAATCTTTTTTAATCTTGATTTGCAGCAGGTTCAGTTAGCTTTTCTTCAACTATGGTTTAGACCCATGGCTTCACATCAAAGTGCCTGCCTACCACTTCACACCAAACTAATTCCCTATTTAAATTTAATGTATTGATATACCATTCTTGTTCAGTGTTTATGCTAAATGTTTTCATTTAATGGATTACCTTAATACGTATTTTATATTTCGTAATAGACTGGAATTCGTTTGAGCCCAACAATTACGGAAGCGGACAACATTGTGCCGTCATGTACAAGTATGAAGGTAAATGGAGTGATGAGGACTGTCGGTTTCCTAGAATCGCTATCTGCGAGGCACCATTACCAGGTTAGCATCAGTTGCTTTTTATTTCAATCTGTATTTCGTGTTTTGCGTATATCTGCAAATATCTTGATTTATGTCTGCAATACAGTACTAATAGACGGGTGTAATGGCTAATCGTCCAAGATCAAAAATGTTTATTCTCCTCTTATACGGTAGCTTTTGCACATGTACCCAGTTTTGGCGCCAGGGGCAGAGGGAATTTGTCCCTCTGCCGGACAGGCCCGGACCCCCTCCCCCCTCCCCCGTCGTCCGACGCACGACTAGTTTGTTGGATCAACAATTTAAAAAATAATAATTTGAATATCTAAATGACGTTGTTTTTTTTTTTCAATCCCTAATATTGTGGTCTAAAAGCACATTTTGGATCAAACTAAGCCACACAAACTCTCCCCGTGAGCCCTATACAAGGGAGTTGTAGGATCCTCGTCGGCCCCTTGGATTAGACCCCTCCGTTGTATATTTCTGGCGCCACCGCTGCATGTACTGTGAAATGATATTTTTAAAAAAATGATATTCAAAACACAGATATACCTACAATGTTTTATGCGCTCATAAGCGTTGACAATTATTACTTATAATTTTCTTCAATATCCATATTTTGGATGTTGTTTTTATACAGTAGTACCAACTATAGCTACAGGCCAATGCGACCATGAATATAATGGCGCTTGCTACGTTGCTATAGACACTAAACTGAACTTCAAAGTTTCCAAAAAGCTCTGCCAAGCCAAAGGTGGGCAACTTACCAGCATCCGGGATGCAGATGAAAACAACTTCGTAAGCACGCTCGTCAAAGTAGAAGCTTACATTGGCTTGACGGACGCACAAAAGGAGGGAAACTGGAAGTGGCTTTCCGGAGGAAAACCTAAATTCGAAAGTAAGTACCGTTTGTGAAAAATATTACTAATTTTTAGTTCCAATTCACTAGCTTTTTTACAGACTCTGTAATTGTCGTTTAACATTTTCAATTTAAGTTCACCGTGTAAAGAACGTAAACTGTTTTTGTGTTGTTTCTTGAATATTTTAAGGGTTGAAAAATCAAAAGTAATCATTCATACAAAATCATATTATAACTATTTGGCATGCCTGATTGTCCAGTTTTCATTGTACAATAATCGACTGAGGTAGTTGATTTCGTTCACTTTTTGTGTTTGTTTTATTTGTCCCATTGTTCATTTTGCTTGTTATAATGTTTAATCGTTTCTAAGACCAGTACCAGTACATGAAACAAAATTGAAAACGTCTTTACTTGCAATATTTATATTTACAAAAGCATAAACATTCAAAGTTGTTACAAATATCGTTTGAATATTGTTTATTATAAGGGAACAGTTAAATTACTGTTCCCAGTTATTATGAATTATTGGTTGCCACACCTACCAACCATTTCACCTTCAATTAAGTTGAAACTGTTTTATTAATTTTTAGAATGGCTAAAAAACCAACCAGACAACAAAGGAAAGGGCAAAGGTGAAGATTGTGTAGCCATTAAACCAGGCGGGGGGTGGAAAGACGTATCTTGTAAGCGTAAGCTTAGAGCGATATGTAAAATACATAAGTAAATACCACCAAAAGAACTATTTAATATAATTTATCATAAATAATGGTATATAACATACCTGATCTTCAATCAAACTACGGATGGAGTAAGTTACTTTTATAATGATTTTTGGTTCCCACTTTATACACAAGCTATTACTGGTGGTGGGAACTTTAAGGCCTTTTGTTCTATTACCATTATTTACTATAATTTAAAAGCCTTTTGTATAAATGAATATATTTTACTTAATTTTTTCTCAACGAAAACGATGGCGGTATCGCATGATATTGGTAACTCGTGGAATTCGACTAGATGAATTTAAATTTAATATTGTTGACGTTTATGTGGTTAAATTCATAATAAATTTCTACACGGCATTCGATATATTATAGTCACGATACAATAGTATCGAATTTTGTGTACATGATATATTGTAACAAATGCAATCTAGGCAATTATATTGGTGAGACTAGCACTAAACTTAGACTAAGATTAAATAATCACAAGAAATCTGTTAGAGATAGGAGCAAATGTTTTCCTGTAAGCGATCACTTTAACTCACAGGGACACTCCATAGATAATCTACGTTTTATTATATTAGGCTGTAACTACAAAGCTACTAGAGATACACGTTGCTCCGAATTACGTTGGATCAGGGAACAGTGAATTTTCACTGTTCCCTGGTTGGATCATGCGTATCAAATCACACATCAACGGACTCAAATCTAGGCTTTGCTAGTGGTTATACATTCACTAAGAATTAATTCCTTAAGATAAACTGTGTATGGATTGTTTCACCCAGTAATTATTTTCTACTGTTGTCTCATTCACGTTGAGAAAGTCCTGAGGACAGGACGAAATATTCGTGCCTAATAAAAGTATGTTCCTATAAAACTGTATATGATTTTTATCGTATCAATGTCTATATTTATATATACATACAGTATATGCATATATACTGTATATATATACATACATATATATATATATATATATATATATATATATATATATATAAAGTAAGAATT